AACATGACGATGTATCGAGCCCAGGGAGTGGCTTCCCACAGGTATTCGGACAGCGTGGAGTTGATTCGCTTCACCAATGTGCGACCTCTGTAAGTGGAGTGGAGGACGGGTGGGGGAAAAAAGTGGGGAGTGGCAGGCAGCCACGTGTTTGGAGGGGAAGGCAAAGGGGGAGCAAGGAGGAGGATAGTACGGAGCATCTAGCCTTGGAACTCCAATTCAGATCCAGAAAACCCAGATCTAGCGTACCATGGACTCAGGCCGCGTCCTGCCAGAATCCACACCCGCCTCAACCTCCCTCCCCGCTCCCTTTCTGCCCCTCCCTTCGTCCATTCCCGCCTTCCTGACCGTTATCGCCAAAGGACCAAAGGCACCGCCTTTCCGCCCCTCCCTACCTTCCAGGAGCTCCAGCCCCAAGACGGAGGTGATGGGCAGGAGGTTCAGCTCATCACCCCCGTCTTCTACCCCATCAGCCCAGCCTTAACGCCCGACTCCTCCCACAAACTCCCCACCTCCTCCCACAAATCCCCCCGCCGACCTCCTCCCAGCCCCCCAGGGTCCCCCCTTCCTCCTACCCACCGCAGATGTGAGTACACAGCCGTGTATGTGTTCGAGGAGGCCTCCCCCGTAATGGCGGCCTGGTTGGCCTGGATGCGCGCGGCCGCCTTGTCGAAGACACTCATGTAAGCCGGAAAAGAGCCGTCGTAGCGACCGGGCCGCTTCACGCGAACAGGGTACGCGGACTCGTCCCAAAAGTGGGGTCCCTTCGCGCATTTGTATGTATGTATGATAGCATGTACGCAGGCAGGGCAAGCCGGCAGACAGGGCAGGGCGGGGCAGCCGAAAAGGGTTGGGTGTCGCGGCGGCGGCGGTAGGACTGGATGGGGCGTATTGGGGTCAAAGGGGGGAAGCAACGCATGTATGGGCTCGTGTGCGGTTCAGTCGAGGTTCTAACCAAATCAGGTGCGGTAGGTCCCGGTATGAAAATCCATGATAGGAAGAAGACTATCCTTAGAAAGAGGAGGGAAACAGCCCTAAGTAGTGGTAGTAGTAATAGTAACAGTATTAGGGCTATCCGCCGCAAGAGGAGGGCGACGGGGAGGGAGGACCTGTTCTTGGGGGCTCTACGGTGGCACATCTGCACCCTGTCTATCGGGCACACACATACACACAGGTGGTCGCTGCAGACAGCAGGCAGGTGATCCATAAGCGGTTATCTCACGCACATACACCGCCTACCACCAGGACCTTTTACATCCCGTGCCTTGTGGTCCTAGGCCCTGTGGTCTTAGGCCCCAGCCACGGGAACTGGATCCTGGATCTAAATATGGGCCCCAACTGAGCAGTCCCACCTTCCAAGAGCAGTCAATCATATCTGGGTGTTCCGTGAGGCGGTTATACAGGTCGGTTGTCCCGCATTTGGAAACTCCCAGTATTTGGAAATAAGGTAGGCACTTGACGTGCCATCTTGTGTCCTGTAGCCGATAGGGAGAGGGGTGTACTGTGCGAGTCGGCTGGGGGACGAGAGCGGCAAGATGAGCTGGGGACGAGCGGCCATGGGCAAGTTTAAGTAGGGAGGAATCCGACTCGAACCGATCTCCGCGCTGAAAGCTTGCTCACCAACAGGGGTTCCGGTATTTTGTGTCATAGCTCGACGGGAGGGCGACGAAAGTGTCCCTAGCAGCGGCCTCGATTTCCGGGTAATTCGGCAAGTGCGTATGCGCCTTCCAAATGTCGTTCACGTGGTAGTTCGGCACCTTCACCTGTGTTTCAACATGGCGTTCATGGCGAATTCATGGCTTCGCCGGTCTTCAGGAAGAAGCAACGCAACATACAGACCTGAGGTGCAAGGTAGCTCGACGGATTGACGTTCACGCCATCTGAGAACACGTTTTGAAGGTGCAAGCTTAGGAAGACGCAGAGAGTTACAATCGTTGTACGCAGTTTACTGTTCATTTTGCTTGCTTCTACGGTCATCCCTGCCTTAACTCCTAGGCTGATTCAGAAGTTCTCAAAGGCCTCATACGTATATGCGATGCTAAAGAGAGGAGATCGATGTGAAGGTGAAACCAGTCGCAAACCGCGTTCAAGTTCGATCATCAAAGAAGTCAGCCAAAGCACAAGCTATTGCGCAGGTCAGTAAAAGATCTATCCAACTGCATAATAGCAGTTCGCCATATTCAAGGACTGTGCAAAACAATCAGGTAGCTAGCTGTTCACGTACGGCTGTTCCGTAGTGAGAGTGGGAGAGACGAATGCAGATGACCGTCATGTGTACCCTGCCTATATCACCGCGTCTGCGCTGGGATCTCACGTTACAAAATGTCGATGCAGATGGTACCTCAATCGACAGTTATCGCCTCACGTCAAAGGTTCCAGTTGGACTACAACTCGAGGACTCATGCTTACGGGTTTTACGGGTTTATTGCGGAGTCGTGTTTTTCTAGCGCTTACTGTCCAGCCAGCCCTGGAGCGAGCATCAAACTAATTGTCAGCACGTATAGCAACCCAAGCCCAAGCGCCCATGCCGTAATACCAGCTGTCGTATGTGTCTCCTGCATCCAGCGTACGGCACCCCAACAAGCCGAGCGATCGGGCACAATCTTTGTGGCCGCATACATGATCATCCAAACCAACGAATTCCCACGATATTCCAGTCGAAAAGGGCAGATGCTTATCATGCGTCTGTTATGCATCAGCATGCAGCAAAACAACCATGGCCTTTCGTTGCGAAATAGGAACGAACCTGAATCCAGAAAAACCGACCAACATGCCATTAACCACGCAATCACGTTAACATGGGTTGAGGAGGGTTAACGAGTGCACTCTGCGCCGTTCACACAGCCAGCCATTCCCTTCTTCCCCACCCCACCACCAACCATACCGTTGCACGCCCTGTCTCATTTCTAGCTCCCCACCAGCCCCGTCTGCCCATCAATCTCACGACCCAGCCGCCCCTCATCCTCGCACGCAGCCCCCCTCAACCTTGCGCGACTCGCAGCCACTAAAAGCCACTAAAAGACATCCCCCAAACTTTAACTCTCTTGTTCTACTCAGCTGTGCGTTTTCGCGCTTAACAACCACATCGATGGTTAAAACCCCCCAGTCAAATCAAAGCCTTAAAACTGAAAGCCCTCCTTCCAGGCCTCATTTTAGACGTCGCATCAAAGTCCAGGTTCGATAGCACATAGCACACAGCATGGGTGGTGTCGGCCTATCCGTCGGCCTATCAGTCGGCGACACGGCGCAGGAAAAGCGACAACAGATGCCACCTTCAGGGGGACATGCTCAAGCAACCACCAACACCGAAGTACTGCAGACCGGCTTGAGAAAGGGAAAAAGACAGCTAAAAGACAGAAAAACAATTTCACGTAGCTGCTCAAGGACCTCGTGCGTTGCTGTTCGTTGTTCACATGTGTATAACATCCTCCTCCCTTGGCGAGGAGGCATTTACTCAATATTTATCAAGCCAGCAAGATCCCTACAGGACGCACACACACACACGCACACATACACACGCGCACACATACACCCCCACACACACACAAACGAATTCTTCAAGGAGGGAGCCCCCCAGGGACCCTCTCTCGCCTTTCCCCCTCTCCCACAATCCCCTTGCCTGGAACCCAACAACATCCAACTAGCAGTTGACAGTTGGCGGTTTCCGCTGTCATTTTATAAAACCCTAAGTCCCAACACCATGAACAACACTGACCCAAACCCGCCTCAGCCCCGGGATTCAGTTTACTACAGGCACTACAGGCAATCCTAGAATTCAGTTTACTACCACTACAGGCAATCCTAGAATAGCAGCTATTATCGGAGACTGAGCTTGTCTGTGTTGGAAGGATTGTTGAGATGATGCGCGCAGTCATTGCCACCACGGGTGTTCGCAGCCCCCGCCGCCGCCGCTGCCGCCGCCGCCGCCCCAGTCGGTTGCTGCTGCTGCTGCAGCCGCCGCCACTCCTGGAACAACTGCCATTCCGCCGGGGTCACACCTGACGGCGGCGGCGGCGCCGCCGATGCCGCTACCGCTACCGGTACTGCCGCCGCGTTGCCGTGGTCAGAGGGCCGCTGCGACACGTTGCCGCTGCGTGGCGATGCTAAACGGTGATCCACTGGCATAGTGCCCTTCGGAGACTCCTGAGCGCTACACCTCACGTCCGTCGCGCCGCCGCCGCCGCCGCCGCTGCCGCCGGCTTCCACGACGCCTGCCGTGGGTGGCCCGCGAGCTCGCTTCCGTGGCCGCTCGCCGTCCGTCAAACCGCCAGCCATCTCTGCGCGCGAGCCGCCGCCGCGACGCGGTCCTGTATTGCCTGTTTTGGCATTGGCGCCGCGAGACCGCTTCCCACATTCCAAGTCCTCGGACCATGCTGCTGCGCGGCGTTGTCGCCGCTTGCTGTGTTTCATATCGCTGCTGCCCCGCGACCGACTCTTGTGCCTAATTTTGCCATCGCCGCCGTGCCGTACGTGTACTGTACGGCGCTCTTCGCCGCTGCGGTGATCCGTACAGTGTTGGTGACCTCTGTATCCAACGCTCCCGCCAA